TCCTTTCAGGTGATAATAACGGAAATGAACAAAAATACTTGGAAAAGTGTGGGTTTGATCTAATAAAAAACCATGTCAGGTCGCAGTTTACAAGAAAATATTCATAGAAAAACCCATCAACTAATGTAGTACATATGACATTATATAAACACAAATATTATTATTGATGCAATAAAAATATAGATGTTATAACTAATATTGAACTGAAAATATTAATTTACTTTGAAACTGTTGATTTTAAATTTCAAAAATATGAGAAAACGATTAACAAGATGCAATCGACACGGTAAATGATTTTCTGTGAAATGGAAGCGACCTTCATTTAAATTAAATCATTTATCCTGTTCGTTATTCCCATCTCGTCTGATTAAATTCTGCAGAAACTAGACCATACTTAATGAATTTAATATCCATCTTGGATTGGGGTAAACATTTTCGATAGTTTTTATCGAATTAATTGAAACAAAACAAATTTAATGCAACAAAAATAATTGAAACAGTAGCACTTTTCTAAACAACATTACCCAACCGCATATTATTATACCGGATGTGACAAAGCCTTTACACTTTTGATTCTCAAATAGCAGTCGAAACACGCTGTGCCGCATTCGAGTTCGAATCGAATTCCGAAGCGATTTGCGTAAGAAACGCAAACGCGCTAGCGTAGGAGGTTATTTTTATAAGAGAACGATAGCTATTTAAAGAGAGAGAGAGGAACAACGAGAGACGATATGCGCCGCGACGCCTCCTGTTGTGCCGGCAATCGGTAATATTGATGATGACGTTATTGCGTTTTATTCGATCCCTGTAACCGCGGTGTACTTTGCCTTTTTGCGACGACGACGAGTAGAATAAAAAGAGGAACCAAAAAGGGGGGAGCCCCTCTGCACGACACATCAATCGTTGCCGTGCTGTTCGTTTTGCAAAACAACGGCCTCGCAGTCTCGAGCGATTGAAAAAGTAAGAAAATGAGAAGGAAGATTGGCGGAGGTCGCTGCGTTATTATGCATTCTTATTGTTTCACTCTCTCACGTATACAATTTACAAATAGACAACATCAGCTGTTATGACGTGATAATAAATAAATAATAAAAAGAATGTTTATTAAAGTAATCGTTTGAAGTAAGCGTTAATCCAAAGAGCAACAACAAAACTGATAGTAATAAAAAAGATTAAATTAAATCAATTTGCGTAATAAAAAAGAACGCAAAATCACTCTGTTATTGTCTAACAATGAGAGGTTGAATGAGGTGCAAAGTCCTACTACGTATTTAACGGGAAGTTTATAAAAGTCACGAATTTCAAAATAAATAATCGAGTTTTCAGAGGTCAATTTATGATACCTTATAAATAACGAACTATTAATAACTAAAACTAATACTAGCACTATCACTAGAACTTATACAAGACCTTGTCTTTTAAAAAAAATGTTTAATGTTTCAAATGCCATGTTGCAACCTTCTTCAGAAACAAGTTAGAAGTGAACCTTTGTTAACAAATATTGATTTTCTTAAATTTTTTTTTCATTTATTGTACTAAAACAAGAACCAACACTAAACCAAGAATGAGAAACATTCGGCTTTAGCCGTACATCTCTTAAGATGGCTAAACCCGAATGTTTCTAGTTCTAGTATTACTTCCACATTTAGTTTAATAAAAATATACAATAATCTAACGCTGGATAACAATTAAAACTAAAACTAACAATAACATTAGACCATTAGCCGTCTTAAAAGACGCACGGCTAAACCCGAATGTTTCTAGTTCTGGGCCTAGTGTTAGTTAAACGTTAAATCCTGTTTATGACTTTGTAATGATTAAAAAAACATATTGGATTTTAATTATTAATCCATCTCAGTAATTTTTTTATTATCTTAATTAATATATTTCAATTAATTAAGTAGTAACACTTTATAATCTATCCTTTTAATTGCTTTATTGCAGTCTGTAATTTCAACGATAAAAATCAAAACAATCACACCTAAACATTACATAAATTTGAATTAATTACATTGAAACTATTCCATTATTATTGTTTAAAACCATGGAATAAAATGAAAATAATAAATAAACATAAAAGGTGATTAATCTGATTTTAGTAAAAATCAGCTGATATAAAGGTCATCATTTATAAAAACACCTACAAAGAATCACATGTTTTGTCCACCGTGCCGAAAGTCTCACAAACATGATTAATAACTTTAACAAGATTACTCCGGACAAAAACAGAGATGACGTGCATCCTGCAATGTTTATTTTTAGGTGTCATAACGTTTCTACATAGAAAGACTATTTACCACCTACTTTAGCAAGCGATAAAAGGAAAAATTTGCTATTTGGGTGGTATAAAACGTTTATCGCCGTCGTCGTTGTCGTAAAAGACGGTGTTTTAACTGTTTTTCGAATGACCACCTCCAAGAGCCGACTTCGCGGGTAACTTTCTATCGATTCTCTTTGCTCGCCCACGAGAAGTTACGTCATAAGAAATACACCGGGCTTCGGTAAGTTAAAGGAAGAAAAAAAAATGCTAGAAGAAAAAGCTTTCGAACGCGGGTCAGGTGCTACGGTAAAAAAAATTATAACAGCCGGTGTAGGAGCACCATCAGCGGCTGAGCAACAGGTAAAGGTGTTGCGAGTCCGCCCGAAGCTCTTCCGAGAAAAGCCAACGACGTCGTCGTAGTCGTCGTACCTGTGGTGTTCTCCGAAATGGAACCCCGTAATATTTACGTATGGCAAAACAAAAAGAAAGAGGAATCGCCCGGACGAATCGGCAGATGTTGTCGAACCCGCTTGCTATCATCAGAGGAAATTGTTGGTTGGTGGAAAAAGGAAGAAAAAACACGATGATTGTTAAATGGTACCTACATAAGAAGTATTGGTATAATGTTAAATATGACATGTTGACTGTAGTGTACAACAATAAATTAATGTAATAATAGAAACTCCATATGGAATGGCATTTGGTAAATGAAACAAAGAAAAATTCTAACTAAAATAATGAAGAGTTAACATCATTTTTGAAAAATCGAATTCTTAAGATATCTGTATGAACCGCTCGCGATTTATAAAAGAATGTATGTACTTTTTTGTGATCAAAGCCGCACTTGAAAATCTCTACTAGTTTTTGAGATAATTATTACTGAACTTAACCCCAACTGTTATAATTTTAACAATTTTTGCCATCACTTTTAAAAAATCGAATTCTTAAGATATCTGCATGAAATGCTCGCTGGATATTCATAAAAGAATGTATGTACTTTTTTGTGATCAAAACCGTACTTGAAAATCTCTAGTAGTTTTTGAGATAATAATTATTGAACTTAACCCTAACTTTTATGATTTTATAAGGTTAACAATTTTTGCCATCATTTTTAAAAAATCATGAAAAATCGAATTCTTATAATATCTGTATGAAACGCTCGCTCTTCATAAAAGAATGTATGTACTTTTTTGTGATCAAAACCGTACTTGAAGATCTCTACCCGTTTTTGAGATAACAGTTATTGAACTCAACCCCATTTTTTATGATTTTATAAAGTTAACAGTTTTTGCCATCATTTTTAAAAAATCATGAAAAATCGAATTCTTAAGATATCTGTATGAAACGCTCCCAACATATAAAAAAAGATATGTACTTTTTTATGATCAAAACCGTACTTCAAAATCTCCATCCGTTTTTGAGATAATAATTATGGAGTTCACCCTGATTTTTTACAATTTTATGAAGTAAACATTTATTAGGTCATATCTCAAAAACTAAATGAGATATCAAAATAAAATAAAAACGATTTTACAGCAAATTTAATCCTGTTTTAAAGTGTCTATTTCTTCATAACCATAAATCCTGATGATACGATTTTTTAAATAAAGGATTGATAGTGATTGTTGATATTAAAGAAACTTTAAAACATCGTATCTCATAAACTAATTGAGGTATCACAATGAAATAAAAAGTATTTTGTAGCAAATTCAATAATTACTTAAATTGTTGACATTATTTTCTTCTCCCTACAAAGTTAGTCATGATTTTTTAATACCTAAAATATGTTGTGCCTCAAGGTCAGACTCTCAATCAACAGTTTTAGCGAAAGACCAAACATCAAGAACTAAAAGGTGTTGCAATACAATGAATCCAACAATGCATCGTGACTCATTACAATTTCAACAAACGATTTTTTGGCTCCATTCGCCTAATTTTGATCAATTTATTTTGTGTGCGATTAATTTGAGAATGTACTAATTCAGACTACGTATGTAGTAATTCAATTAAATTTATATACAATTAATTCATACAACTTTATCAAATATTAATAATTTTTTATGAATTGTTTTTTATCGTGAAAAAATCATCATATTCATTGAAATTTCACGCTTTATAATAACCATTAAAAAAGATTATTAATTTTTTTCAAGATATTAATACGTAAAAAAAGTCGTATAATATAACGATAACGCATTCATAGAACGTTTCTAACATAATTCATCTGGATAGCGTTGGAATTCCTTCGGATCGTAGTGGGCCCGAGCTAATACAGTTGAACTGTCAAATCTATCGGGGGCCTCTCTAACTCCAACAAAAATAAACGCCCGAGGCCAACACGAAGTCGAAGCCGAAAAACACAAAAATAACCGTTGACATAACGCGAAATCTGTCGTCGTCGTCGTTGTCCGACGCTGCCGTATTTTAGAGAAAATCAAAACGCTAAGATTCATCTCTTTTCAGAGTGTGGAACGCCGATGCCACTGCGGAGAGGAGAATCGACAAAGTTGTGTTGCAAGACAAGGACACAGCCACATGAGGATATACACAGTAGATAGACTGGAGAGGACAGAGACGAGGCAGACGGTGTTTGACGCCAAGTGATAGTCGACGAGGCGCCAATAGAAGTACAAAGCCGTGCAAAAAACTCGTACAGATCACGCGGATAACATCTTAAGAGAAATACAATCAAAGGAAGCTACGCATTAAAAAAATAGTATACATAACAATATGTTCTTACGTGAAAATCCAGGAGGAGGTGGTAAAGGTGATTCCAGCGTTAACTTGATCATTGTTTACGTTGCACAGATGACGACGAACCGGACGTCCACCATTCTTCACCTCTTCCCGGGAGGAATTCCATCGGTCGGGAGGAGGGGAGATGAAATTGGTATCGAAAATAATGACGCACTGATACTTATTAATAATTATTATGATTCTAGAGTTAGCTCAGTCTTCTTGGTTGAGTAACAAACACACAGCTTGGCACAAATCGGTTAGACGCGTTGTTGCACTGGCTCGACGTTTGTATTTTGTATCGCGCCACGTTCGTCGTCAGTCACTTATTATCGAAAATTTCGCGATGGACCAGATTAGTATCTGTCCGGGATACTGCGGGGGTACCCTACGTAAATATGATATGCTGGCTCTGCTACAACGGCGCCATGTTTACTCGCGCCGTCCTTGTCTTCCTCGGCCGATTGTGGATGACTCGACTAGCACACACCGCACGCACACGCGATCACCGGCCAGCGTAGGTATTTCGTTTCATTCTGTGTACGTAGTATATCGGCGCGAGGGAATCGCCTCTCTCGGCCTCCCACTACTTCACCACCACCTCCTCCTCCGCCACCCCCCCCTTCCACCTCCTTCTGTTACTGCTGCTGGTGCTCTCTACGTACGCCTTCGCTCTCCTCTCTCCACTTAAAAACCCTTTGTATACAGGACCGAACTTTAGTTTTATTCTATTCTCGCTATATCCAATTTATTAAATGTTGAAATTATCTGAAATTTATAAAAAAATAGATCAAGAGAAAAGACATAGTTTGCATAATTCTACAAATCGCTTGGTTTAGAGCGCAAAATTGAATTAATTGAAATGAAAACGTTAATTAAGCTAAAGTATTACCAGTTATCAAGTATTGTAAGAAAAACTAAGATGATACAGAAAAGACGAAGAAAATATGGTTCAACCAAACACTAACCGGGAATTTACTCTCTGGAATCGGTTCCTTGCCAAAGAAAAATCAGCGATGAATCCAGAAAATCGCAGTAATCAACGTATGAACCTGTCCTAGACATTGTAGCAGCAAACAAGTAATAGAAACCGTTTCAGTTTGGTTGCAGAAAAGGATAGGTGTCAAATTCAAGTTTTGGAGAAACACGGTTTTTCTGGTTGACACGGGATATTAAGCTGCCAGTTCCAGTAACCAGAGGAACAATTTTTATTTATCATAAGACTCCAGCGTTTAAGATGGGTTGGTCAAGTGATCAGAATGGGAGAAGAGAGAATACCTAAGTGATTAATCGATAGAAGAATGTAAGGTGTGAGACCGAGGATGAGATGGAAAGATGCTGTCGACCGGGACGCTAAGGAGATAAGTGGAGGTAGAAACTAGAAGAGCGAGGCCAAGGTTCGATTCGGGCTATAAAGATATAAAGACAGAGAGAGATTATCACATTTATGCTGGGAAGTTTGAATAACCTTGGGCTAAATACGGTAAGTTCCTGATGCAGTATCTCAAACTACCCAGAAGTCTGCACAAGGACTAGGCCATAAAAAATGACAAGGTATCATAGTGAAAATTTGAACTAACTACTCACTTAACTAACATCTTGGCATCTAATATATAAAACCACAGAAATATGCTGACCAGACTACATATATCCCAGGAATACTTTCTTTGGACTATCTAGTTAAGGAATGACGCGAATTCTAGTATTAATAAATAATGAAGAATTGGCATGCGAGATGGCGTGATATCCCAATTTTGAGTGTGTGGATACAGGAAAGAACAGAAACCCAGGTCATTACCTCATGTTACTTTTGTCACCGATAGCGTGGAGCAAACTGTGTTAAAGTGCTGGGAATTTGCATACAAAGAAAAATTGTGAGTGGAAGCGATGGCGAAATGCAACAGAAACTTTAATTATTTCGCAAATATGTTTAAGGGCACTCTCAAGCAGAAAGGAAAACTGTCGAGATAAATGCTTGATTCAAGCTTCTCCTAATTTTACCCAACCCAACTACACTCAACCAGGTCCAATCCAACTCTGTTAGTGCTTTAGGCATAAATACATGTATGATTAATTGTAAGAAGAGTTGTTTCATCTTTTTTAACTTTTCTCTAATACGGCTAAAGTACGTTTAGTATGTTGTATTTTGAGGATAGAATAGTTTTGATTGCCATAACACGAATGAAAATTGTTTGTATTGAACTTAGTAAAAATAATCCATGATCTGTTCCAACTCAGTGATAGGTAAACAAAATTTTGAATCAAACACCACAATCATATAGCTTGACAAATCAAGACGAATTTTTTCTCCGAATATGAGCATAATTTTATGTACTTTCAAGAATCCTGCCAGATTTACCTCTTTCATTTAGAATTCAGATCAAATCACGAAAAGATTAAAAAATTCCGAGATTAAAATGACTGTAATTTATTTGAATGGGTTGGAAATACACATATTAAGATGATACGGTATGAGCATGTAAAAAATGTAATGATTCTGAAGCCAATCCTGTAATTTTAAGCACACGGCCGTTCCGATGAAAACTTTCAAACCTGTTCATCGTTCGTTCTCTCTCTGCCTTTGGAGTTACCTATCGAGCCGACAGAAGGCGGCCGTTCGCGACCCGATCGGGTGAGTTCAAAGTCCAGAGCTCGATGTAAAACGAAATGAACGAACGAACCGTGTGGCTACTTTAGCTGCGTGCTGCTACGGACGGACACTTTTCAAAATTACATTACGACGTACGTCGAATCTCCGTATACATCTACTTATGTAGTCTACCACCGGCAAAGACGTCGGTAAAACGACCGATCGCCAATCGAGAAGGCCGCGAACTGTCTTATACAAGCTTCGGCCTCCTACGACCCGATTGCTCCAAGTGAAAACAACTGATAAGCCGACGTTTTATCGAAACAGACTCGATCCGTGGAGACTGGTGATCGTCGTCGTCTGTAAATGCAGACGATATAATAAAGACAGTCAGACGGTGAGACTGTAAAGAAATTATTTTTGAAACGAAAAGACGGACGCCTTTCAACGTTGTCGGAGGCGTCGTTTTACCTATTGCTTGGCTAAAAATAGACACGTCTGTATGAAGTAACGCGGTGCCGTTTCGCAGAAAAGAACGCCGTGCGTTGGAACGACATCGAATGGACAGGATTCCCGTAGCCTTTCTTCCTCTTTCCCCTCATCTCCCTCTTCGACTCTTTTTGAAGGCTCCGCTCAGACGGAATTTCCTACTCTATTCTGTTTTCGCCACTGGAGGAACTCAACAGTCCTCTACTTTTAAACAGATATGTACTAGCTTTTTGACCCATCAAAAAATCAACTATAAAATATTCAATTTTTTTCCAAGATATATTTCAAGTTCAAGAAAATGTATAAAATTACTTAGAACATGTTAGAAAATGTTACACAACAATGTGCAATCATATCGAATCGTTCTCTGCAACTTGAGTTGTGTAGAGAGAATTCCCGTTCTATTTTACTTCTTTAACAAAAGAATCTGGAAAATGTCAAAAACATCATAAATAAGTGAGGCAGGAATTTAGAACAAAGAAGTAATCCCAAGGAAGTTGTATAAGATGCAAAAATCGTAAAAAATTAGTAACAAAGTGGACCAAATATAATCAGTACTAAGTAAAGATAACATCTAAGCTGGTAAGCATAACTAATCAGTAGAAGGATGCAAGGAGTGAGGCGGAGAAGGCGGCTGAGGATGGAACTAGAAGAGAGAGGCCAAAATTGGAGGCAAAGGCTCGATTCGGGTTGTAGAGCCATAAAGGGAAGTAAAGATACTAGGTAATGCCACACGAAGAGTATTGAAAGTATTCAAATTTGGGAGTGAAAAAAAATTTGTATTTTTGAAAAGTGAGCTCTTGTCTTAGTGTCAATTTTCATGTATTTTTTTTTACTTATTACTAATATGTTTTAAAAAACTAAATTATTTTTATTACGTTCCTGTAACCCATTAAACACTACCCAACAGAGCGAACGGAGTCAGAAAGACGGAATCTCCTCACGTAGTTGTCCACGTGTAGTGCCATAGATACATATGGGGACGAGAGCGAGGCGAGTCCGGGCGAGTTCCACTCCACCGGTAGACACTTGTCCTTCTTTTACATAACAGGTTATCTTGCCATCCTTCTCTCGGAATCTCCCTTTCGGCCTTGTCTCTTCGGCTCGGCCCACGAAAGCCGTTTCACCTAAACCTACCACCACACCATTCGATATTGCGAATATCTTACGATTCTCCGCCTCTCTCGCTCCTTCTCTCACTTCTTTCACAGTTTGTTCATAACTGTTGTTCCACTGTTGTTCAATAAGTTTGAAAAGTTTATCTTCAAAGCTATTAAAAAATCTGGTGATGTAATTTTTAAATTAATAATAAGAAGCACTTGAAAAAATGGAAATTGGAATGAAGCGATGTGTTCTTTCTATTGGAATTTAAATCCGGTTTTTATTTTTCTAAGAAAAAGCTATTAATTTTTATCTTTTATTCATAATAAAGAAAAAAAATTGAGTCATTTAAACCACAAAAACTTTTTCAATAATAGAAACTAAATTAAGAGATATTTTTTATTTCGTATTTCCGGGAAGTTTAATTTCTTTCTTCGACTCTGGATCAGATTATTTGTTGCGTCATATTCTATGAATCATATCACTATAATTCGCGGAACCCAAAATAGCTTTTATTTTTAATTGTTTTATGCGAATATTGTATCTGTTTGTACTAAAATTAAAGATATCGGGTTATCGATGTTCAGTATTTCTGTTAAAAAACTTTCTATTTCCTCGATAAACGTTTTTCCCCAAGCGATGAGCTGCTTTCGAAGTATTACGTTATCCGATTTACATTACGAGTGAGTATATCTGTGATTCATAACTTTGGTATAGTAAAAATGAGCATATCATTTCCAACTTGACTGACCTTGACAAGTTTTTTTTCGAGATTCCTTGAATTGACGGAAAAATTCAGCAATTTGTAGGTACTTGGAAAATATGTTGTATATATTATTATTTTATTGATAATTTAAGATAATATTTATTTGATCTTTTCCAAAAAATCTAATTCCATTTTTGAAGGATTGTGGAGAGTTGATAACAAAGAAATATTTCTTAAAATATATTAATTGGGAACTCACAAAAAAATAATGTAAACGTGTTTGCTTATTGAGACAATTTTTGCAGCACTAACACGAACACCAAAGACCTGTTCAAGACTGTTGTAGCCCCACTTACGGTAAGATCCTTAGGGATTTAACGACTTAGGAATGAATGATTCTTCTTATTAGTTTCGATCGATTTACATTTCGTAGTGTTTCACCTGTCGTTTTATAATTCCACGCCACATATTGTGTAGTAGAACAGTAGAAGTGCTGCGCGTCATTACTTCTACGGTTTCAAGCAAAGATTTTCGTTTCATATGACATTTTATTATTGCTTTTCTTTGTTCATTTGAAAGTTCAGGTGACTTTCTACCCACTTCGACACGATTAAAAATCTTGTATAACAGCAGTTATTTACACAAAAATACAATCTTGCGACCTGTTCGAATACAGTTTTTGCTGTGAACTGTGAATAAAATGCTCTTTCGCGTACAGTTGTCAATTTCTATAGGTAACCGAGACATCCACTTTTGATTTTACTTTTCTAAGTGAAATAAATCATAAAAGTATTTGAAATTTGTACTACCATTCTTGAGTAATTCGTGATTTTTCGGTGGGTGTTCAAATACGGATTTTGGATACTGTAGTTGCTTTGGTTGCCTATACCACTAAAAACGTAATTTGAAAATTAGAAGAATAAGAAATAATATGAAATAATTCCGTCATTTTACAAAGATATACTGGAGTATAAAACCTTCAAGCCCAATCTTCAAAAAAGCTAATTATTCTCCAAAAAAATTTAAATTCACAGAATAAGAAAGCAATTTGACAGCTATCACTAATTTCTATGAACTATGCCACTTGTTAACAAACTTCACTCTCATGGTCATATTTACGAACAAGATATCGAAAGAAATAAACAATTATTATAGATTACAATTAATGAAATACACAAATTTTAATTTTACTAAAACGTAAATATGTTAAATTAAATAGGATCTCCATTTATATTTAAATTTTTCATATTAAATAAAGCGCCATCTATAAATTTCCTTCTCAATTATAGACGTCAAATTGACATTTAATAAAATTAATTTTATAAGGTTATAGGTTAGATTCAATTACTAAACAAGATTGTAGATTAAAGTAAATAGTTATTTGTAAAATGTTTATTGTACTTTTCGTTTAATGTTTTTATATAATTTATAATATTTTTTATAATAATCATTTCATTGCAATTATGGATACACAACTGGAAAGGTTTGATTATATTCATTTATATATTTTTTATGACATGTGTATTCTATTAATTTCAGTTATCACAGTAATGATTTAACCACTGAAGGTTTTGATTTACACGCCGGAAAATCGTGGATTTACCCCACAAATTATCCAATGCGTGAATATCAATTTCGAATAACACAAGAAGCTTTATATAAAAATACTTTAGTTAGTTTACCAACAGGTTTGGGGAAAACTTTTATAGCTTCAGTGGTGATGTATAATTTCTATAGATGGTATCCATCAGGAAAAATAATATTTATGGCCCCAACAAGACCTTTAGTTAAACAACAAATAGAAGCATGTTATGATATTACGGGGATCCCACAGAATGTAACTGCAGAATTAACAGGGACGAAGGCTCAAATTTCGCGGGAGGAAATTTGGAACACTAAAAGAGTCTTTTTTATTACACCTCAAGTTCTTCAAAACGATATAGACACCTTCCCTGACTTGTGTAAACAAATTAAATGTATAGTGATTGATGAAGCACATAAAGCAAGAGGAAATCACGCCTATTGCGAAGTTATAAGAAAATTACATGTTCACTCAAAATATTTTAGAGTGTTAGCTTTAAGTGCAACACCTGGAAATTCAACAAACGATGTGATTGATATGTCTATGAATTTATTGATTTCCCATTTAGAAGTGAGAACAGAAGAAAGCCCCGATGTTGCACCATATGTGTTTCAAAGACATTTAGAAACAGTTGTTGTTCCTTTAGGTGGAAAATTGGAAGAGATGCGAAATAAATACTTGAGGGTTTTAGAAAGATATGTTAAAGTATTAAAAGATAACAATATCATAACAGGAAATTGTGCAAATTTAACCAAAGGAAAAATTTTTATGACATTAAAAGATTTCAATCTTCGTTCAAAGTATCAAAGACATCCTAAACATAGTGAAATATCTAGAACTTTAACTATTTGTATTACTTTATATCACGGATATGAGTTGCTTATTAGGCATGGGATGAGAGGATTTCTAAATTTTTTTGAAGGTGATTTAAATTAATAATTTAATAAAAATAAATGAAGCTTTTTTTTGTCTTTTTTAGAGCATAGCAAAAAATCACTATTGGAAGGTAATTCACAGTTGTTTGCTGTGATGGATGAAATGCAACAATATATTGGTCCTAGACCTGATATTTCTTTATTACCTGATGGAACAATACCACAAGTAAATAAAAATTTTTTTTATTATGTTTATGCCAGGTTAACAGTCCATAAATCTTTAAATTAACAAAAAAGCTTCATATAAACATAGGTCGAACGCTTAATTTAATTTAATATAATATATAAATTTAATAATTTAATTTAAATTAATTTTTTTTAATATTACACGTGTTTTTCAATCGTTTCTATTCAAATTTGGTATACGGAGGTTTTTTGGCATGAAAAAGAGTCCGTTT